TTAGGCTTAGGCCTTAAGCATGGGTTATTGCTGGTTTAACATTACTATTTGACAGTATCTCTATAGAAAGGAATATTGTCTCTATGTCAGCAACCTACACAGAAAACATTAACTTTGTGAAATTCTTGCTTTTCAGTTGGCAAGAAGCGTCAGCCAGACTCCAAAGTGCAGAGCCCCTTTTCCTTCCCATGTAGCCATATTTGCATCACTGTAATGCCCCACTTAGCTCTCCTGACTTACTTTGCACACCTTCCTATTGTTTTTCAGGGTTTCTCTTCCACTAACCTGTTCCATTTTCAAACCACTTGTGTGCTATGTATTCACTCTGTGCATTCTCATAGTACTCTCTTTAAATGAAGTCATGCTTTGCCCTGACTGGTTGTAATGGATATTGGTGGTTTTCCAGCTTCCATTCCACAACTCCCTTTATTCGTTCATTCAGTTTTTGGGTAGAATTAATCTTTTCCTCCTATAACAGATCTATAAACGGTCCTATAACTGCTGTCTTTAGGGTAAAAGCCTGCTTCCAACAGCCCCAACAAGGTAAGCTGAGCCACCCCCCATCCTGGTATGCCAGTCAAACAGACAAATAATGGTGAAAGAGAAACAGATAAAAGAGTCCAGTGACCCCCAAGACTAGCGTTGCAGTACTGAAATGGGCTTTAGACATAAATGGAGCAAGAATTAGAGCAAGGATAAGGAGTATACTCAAGCAGACTCGGTGTGGTCTTGTTGGTCATTGTCTCTGTTCAGATCCTGCAAGGTGGTCTGAAGAAGTCCTTATTACTTGAGGATAAGGTAGTTTTCAGGAGGTGATCACTTGTGCTTTGGGGTGCAGTTTCACCCTCATTGATCATTGTCATCATCTGGGGAGAGGTGGTTCAGTAAATTTTCCCCTCCCACTTCTTGGGAGACTCACATCTGTGCACTGAAGCCCCAGGGCTGACAAACCAACATAAGACATTCTATTTGGATTTTGCATAGTTTATATGACATTTGGGAGGGGATGACTTACAAAAACATAGATTCTTATAGGCCTTTCCTTTCTATATTTGAAATGAATCGGCCATCCGTCTCTTGCCCCTGGTCTCTCCCATGTTCAATATGGCGGCAGCTCCACCCCTTTTTTCCAGTGTGCTCCACATTGCCCACACTGGCCCTGGATGAGCTCCAGCTTTTTGGTGGAGCATTTGGGTTACAAGAGGTCTGTCCAATGACATTTCTGTTCTTCCTGAAATGCAAGATAACTTCAGGTTTACGATAGTGACTTACCTCTGTGCCTTCAGCCAGAAGGAAGAGGAGTGAGGTTAAACAGATACCCTTTACATAGTTACCATGCTGACTGGCAGATAGGTAAGCAAGTGATGCAAAATAAAGCATACAAGATAAAAGCAGAGACATCAGCTCTTTCCTACATTTAGTAACCTTGTGGACCAAAGTGAGAATTCAGTGCTTTTTAGAAAAAGCATCTTCTGGCCCTTTTCAGTCTAACCTAATATCCTTTGAAGCCATACTTTTTGTTTCACAGATCTGTCAAAGTAAAGCTCAGGATTTTTGTTTGAATGCAGGGAAAAGAGAAATTCATTTCTTCTTCTGGATAACGTGGTATTAAAATGCATGCAGGAAGAGCAGCAGTCATATTTTTCTTTTGCTACTAAAGAGAGACAACTGAGAATAAAGATAGCACATGGAGCAGGGAGAGCTGGGAATATCGTTGGTGGGGGAAGAAAGCCAAGTCCTGAGAGCATCATGAATCTCCAGATAAAAACCCAGCCTGAACCCCATGCCACCTCTAGACTTCTGTTATATGATTTAATAAATTTCCCTTGTTGCTTAGGTGAATCCCATGGTAGCTCTAGATTTCTTTATTATATGAATTAATAAATTCCCCTCTTGCTTGGGCTAAAGAGTTCTAAAATACCTTCTTGAGGCATAACAATAATTTTGAGTTGAATGTATTTGAGTTCCTGAAATCTTTTTATCTAAAAGCAGAACTTTTCAAAACAATTACAAATAACTCAGTTGTTATATGTCTCCTACAGGGAGCAACTGGAGAAGATTAGCTAGTATTGTCAGAGATTATGAGAATTGTCACCAAACCTCAACAAATATTGTCACAAAATTATCATATTGCCCATCTATTTTCCAAAGGGCCAGTTCATCCTTCCTATATGTTCCACTTATGTTTCTGTAAGTACCTTTTCTGGGTCTCAGTTCTAAGAAGTCATTTGTTTTCCCATAGATACTCCCCCTCCTTTATGAGAGGAATTTGAATAAGAATCCCTTTTTGGTGATTTGAATGAGACTATACCACATAGGCTCCAAGTATTTAAACAGTTTGTCTCTAGTTAGTGGCACTGTTTTGGGAGACTTTAGGAGGTCTGGCCATGCCTTTCTAATAGGATCCTGGAAGAAAGTAATGCTGAAAACAATGTAGTTCCAGAGGGAAATAAGGATTAAGTAGCAACTGGGATATTTTGGCAAAGTCTGGCTGCTGTTTTCCCACAGCTAAAGAGGAGTTGAAAAGTAATGGACTTTGGTGGAGGAAATTTCAAGACAGCCTAATAGAAATGGTTGCATGTTTTTGTTTGTTTGTTTGTCTGTTTCTTTGTTTTTACCAAGGGAACTTCTAAAAGGAAGAGTTTATTTACCTTGCAGTTCAAAGGTGCAAGAGCCCATCATGGCAGGGAGGCATGGAGGCAGAGGTGGCCAGAGCAGAAGTTAAGTGACCACATCTTCAAGCAGGTACAGGAAGCAGAGAGTGACTGGAAGTTCAGCAAGGCTTAAGAACTCTCTAAGCCCACCCCCAGTGATGTGCTTCCTCCAGCAAGGGGACACCATCTAAGACCTCTCAAAACAGCACCACCAACTGGGGACAAAATGTTCAAATACTTGGAGCCTATGGGGAATTGCATGGTTTTTAATGGTGAACATTAGACAGATATATAGTGAAAAAGAGCAAGTGCTCTTGACCACTGAGTCAACTCTGTGCCCCTAAACTCATAGTGTTTTATCACAGCAACAGAAAAGTAACTAATACACTATCCCTTTCAGTCAAATATGTAGTATTTTCTCTTACTAATCTGTCAGGCAGATTTTTCTAGTTTGCTTTTGTGTTGCTGTGATAAAGAACTGATCAGACACAACTTGGGGAAGAAAGCATTTATGTCATCTTATAGGTTACAGCCCACCACGGAGGCAAGAACCTAGAGGCAGGAACTGAAGCAGAGACCATAGAGGAATACTCTTTATTGGCTTGCTCCCTCTGTCTTGCTCAACTACTTCTTATACAGACCAAGCCCATCTGTCCGGGGGTGGTGACACTCACATTAGGCTAGTCCTAATAAAACAATTATCAATCAAGAAAATGCCCCACAGATATGGCCACAGGTCAGTCTGAAGGAAGAAATTCTTCAACTGAGATTCCCTCTTCCCAGATTTGTGTCAAGTTGACAAAGAACATGCCTACAACGATTGAAACTAAAGCCACTGAGTTTTTTTTATCTGCAACTGAAAAAGAAGAAAAGACAATGATGCATATTGACTATCTTATTTTCCTCTTTTCATCCAGGAAACTCACATTGCCTAACACTGTTGGATCAAGATCAGACTGTATGACTGTGAACAGTGAAATGTAGGAGTAACCCCTCATAAACCTGACAGAATCTCTAACAATGTAGAGCTTCTGTTTGTCTTTCATACATAGAGCCAGACTAAAAACTGAGAGGCTGTAAAAATAAACTGATTTATTTGGTCCAACACTATAATCTTAAATACCCAAAAGAAAAGTATAACCAAAAAGTAAAGAAATCAGTATATTTCTTTAAGAGTTCAAGGGATTACGCGTCTCAGATATTAGGCTTAAGTCTATATAAAAAGTTGTTTAGACAATTATTTCTCATTGATGATTTTGTTCCTAATCAGAAAGTGCTGCTCAGATGTAAGACTTCAAATATTGTTCTCCAATACTGTAGTGCCCACCTGTAGCTAAGGGAGACAACCAGCTATTGTTCTAAAATGATGGCTAAATTTGTTTTCTCCCCCTATCCAGAAGCCTTTGAGAGGGAACTGACACTGATTCTAACCACTCCAACAGCTATCAAAGTGCCTGAAAGCAAATCCTGAATCCATCACTCTTGAGTCCAGCCTTGGTAGACAAAAGAAAAATGAGGAGGAACCCAATAGAGGGATGCTTTTGGAAGCTCTCGTCATCTCGTCAAGAAATCCCAATGGACTCTGAAAGGAACATTTGAAATTTGCCATGTTCTGACTTTTTTCTGGTTCCTTATCTAGAAGTTGTAATGCTAACTATTCTTGCCTTTACTTCTCCTTCACATCCCCTATTGACCAGTCAAGGACTTTCTTTTCTCCCTACAGATAAGAGTTACACAATTTGGGAACCCACTGAAGGGATGCCCCAATTGCCTCACCCTGCGTCCCTATTCAGTGTGGAAGAAGCCAGAGCAGTCTGCATCCTGATTCCCTATCTGCAAGTTGGGTATCCTCTTCAGAGGATGGTGTGATAAGAACAGGAGGTAGGAATTGGCTAGGCAGTTAGGGTAAAAAGACCCTCAAAGAAAAGTAGCCAGTTTCTTGGCTAAAAGTCAAAATGTCCTTGGACTTCAGGAACATACTCCATTCCAAAGTCCAACAATGTCAAAAATATTTGGGAGTTTTTATCTAATCCTTAAAAGATTTTAGGGTTACCTCTTCATAGGAGGGAATGTTAGAGTAGCAAAAAGCCCCATTTAAAAAAAAAAGAGAAGAAGAAACAGTACATGAAGTTATCAGGGAAAAAGTGATGGGGAGATATGGGAGGAGTTGGAGGGGAGGGAGGGGGCATGGATGTGATCTAAACAACTTATATGCATGTATGAAATTCTCAAATTATTTAAAAAAAAAAAACAGTCACTGAACTGTTACTTACACTACCTCAGAAGACAGGTACATTTCCAGATAAAGTATGGCTCCAAAGGAAGAGTTCAGAAGAGTGGATGTTGGTGTTCCATTTAACAACATATGTACTAAAATTGAAATAATACAAAGAACATTACCAGAGCATTTGCTTAGGATGAAACACAAATTTGTAAAATGATCCATATTTTTAAATTTTTATTTTTTAAATATATGTGTGTGGCACATATATTTAAGATTCATGGAGCCACTGGCAAATACAACATGCTTTATTTTCCCTGGACGAGAGCACACAGGCTGCCAGGTATGTGCCCATGTTCCAAAGGACTTTTTATATGAAATCACAGAAATGTGGTGTATTAGTTACTTTTCTGTTGCTGTGATAAAACATCATAACCAAGGCATCTTATAGAAGGAAAAGTTTGTCTTATGGTTCCAGAAAGATGAGTCCATCATGGCAGGGAAGCATAGTGGAAGAGGTGGCCAGAGTAGAGAGCTGAGCACTCACATCTTCAAGCAGGCACAGGAAGCAGAGAAACTCAAAATGGGGCAAGGCTAAAGCCCACCCCCAGTGCCGTGCTTCCTTCAGCAAGGCCACACCTCTTAAACCTCCATAGCCAGCACCACCAACTAGGGCCAAAGTGTTCAGATACTTGAAGCCTACTGGGGACATTCTTATTCAAACCACCACAGGTGGCTTCTTGCCATAACAGATTATATCACTGTTTACTTTTGAGGCTCTCAGGCATGTGGTATCAGCAATTTTGTGTGAATCCACAGCCCAGATGTCTGACATTAGTCATTTGACCCATGCCAGAAATCCATATCAGTACCATGTTGTCTAAACAGGAACACGTCCTCAATCTGGCTTGTCACATGGGTGCTTGAGATGGAAGTCATGTCTTCATGCTTGCATGGCAAGCACTTTACCAACTAAGATATCTCTCCATCCCCCATATTCCATATTTTTGGAGAATTAATATTGGTAAAATGTTCATACTATAAAAATTCAATGCAATTTCTATTAAAATAACAATGGCATTCCTAACAGAGGTTTTCAAAATATAAAATTCATATGGACTAACAGAAGATTCCAAAAAGCCAGAGCAATTCAATAGTTGCTTTTAGTTCTTGTATCACTATGAACAAAATACTTAAGGGAACAATTTAAAAAGAGAAAAAAGTACTTTTAGTTCATTGTTTGAGAACACCACACCCACACTCTCAGCTGTGTCACTCTTCCCTGAGTACCTCTCCTTTTATGCCTGGGATGCTTGGAATGAGAAATGCCCCGATAGGCTTATGTGTCTGATCATGTGGTTCCCCAGTTAGTGCTTCTGTTTGAGGAGGTTATGGAACTTTTAGGAGGTGGAGACTTACACTACTGGGGGTGGGCTTTGGAATTTTGTAGTTACTCCACTTTCTGTTCTCCTCTCCTCTCTCTCTCTCTCTCTCTCTCTCTCTCTCTCTCTCTCTCTCCCTATGTGTGGATGAAAATATGATCAGCTGCTCCTGTTCCTGCACTTTCTTCCACACTTTACCTACCTGCTGCCATGCCTTCCCCACCATGATGGACACTAACCCTCTGGAACCCTTAGCAAAAATAAAGCCTTTCTTCCTTCAGTTGCTCTTGGCCATGATATTTTATCACAGCAACAGAGAAGTAACTAATGTAATACCATGCTTAAATCTATGTAAAACTTTTTATTTTTTTAAATATTTTTATGTGTATGAGTGTTTTGCCTGCATGCATGTAAGTGCACCATGTATATTCAATGCCCTCCAGAGACCAGAAGAGGATGTCGGATTCCCTGGAATTGAGACAGTTGTTAGCTGGAATATGGGTGCTGGGAATCAAACCTGGGTTGTCTAGAAGAACAATATGTGATCTTAACTGAGCCATCTCTCCAGCCCCAAATGTTTCTTTCATAATAAACTCTAACTGTGCTTCATACTGGCTCATTCTGAAATTCTTTGCTGTTAAGTCAAGGATCCAAGTTTACCTGAGTGGAGATCCCTCAAAGATGAGAACACCTTAAGCTACTGACAATGGTTTTGCATTGTTTTTCAGGATCACTACTGCTGATAGGGCCAGGATTAGTATTCCCTCAAAGACACATCCCCAGGGGCCTATTCCTTCCATGAAAAGAAATTCCACCTCCTGAAATTTTTAAAGCTTCCCCAATCTCATTAACATGTGATGGTATCTATGGATTGGCTATGTCATTTTCTACTCAACTCTCCTAAATGGAGATTATTTCAGGCTGGGGGACATATATTCCCTATGGACTGCCTTGTCACTAGAGATCTAGATATGGTCAGTTTTACCAAACTGATGCCCTTGCACCAGACTTGGAAGATGAAGAATAGGGAGAAGTTACCTTCTCCTACTGTTGCTACTAGCAAGCAAAGTTATGAAGGTATGTGCTAAGAAACAACTTCAGCAGCTGGACTTAGAACTCAAACAGCATCCTGAACTCTGGATCCTAGCTATGACAGCACAGCAGCCCTTGACTTCTATTCTTCCAGCCCTTCCATTAAGATTCTATGTCCCTGTATTAAATAAGTCTGTCAGAAATACCTGAAGTATTTTCTATTTCCTACATGACACTGATCAATTAATGATACAAAGGACTTCCGTGATCCAGCCATTTTCTCACCAGCCTAATCTTATGGTGTCCCATCAATGCACCATAGATTTCCATCCTTAGACAGTGTGCACAAAACCTCTGAACTTGGACAGCTCCTCAGATGTGTCATAGTTTCATGATTCTCTCTGCTTGAAAGGCCGTTTTTACCCTTTTACAACTCTCTGACTTCCATTAGTCTTTAAGCACCGTTTCAAATTTTACCTACTCTGAAACATCTTTCCTGACATCTCTGCCTCCATCTTTGTATTTGTAATGAATCTCAATCTCTCACTCTCCCCTCTCCCTCCTTTTCGCTCCTCTTTTCCCTCCCACTCCCTCTCCCTCCCTCTCTCCATATAACATCAAGGTTTCCTAATGTTTGAAATTCCCCAGGCAGACACTTGCACTTGTATAGGATCCAAAATTTCATGCTATTTGCTTTTTCTTTTCCCTTTCACTTATGTGATATAGGATTTGCTAGTGCCATACACCTGTACCTGAAATTTTGAAGTAGAAGCTAAACGGAGCCAACCTGAGTCCAGCTTCTATGCATAGCAGCAGAGAGGGCATCTAAAACCAGAACTAAAAACAGTTCAGGCAGGAGTGTCTGTGTTATTAACAGTAAAAACACTGTCTTTTCCATCCTGTTTATGGTTTTAGCATGATGCCCTAGGCTCTGAAGCTGGGTTTATATGTGTATGTATGTGTGTGGGGGGGTTCATGTGTGTATGTTCATATGTTCACATGCAGGTGGGTGACAGAAGTTGACATCCGGTGTCTTCCTCGATTGCTCTCCACCTTCTCTATTGAAATAGTATCTCTCATTGAACTTGGAATTCATTGGATAGGCTAGGCAGGCAGGCAGGCTGGCTGGCCAGGGAGCTTCAGGGATCCTCCTGACTTCACTTCCCAGCATGGCAATACCCTTTTTGTTGTTGTTATTGTTGGTTGTTGTTTTAACATGGATGCTGAAGATGGAACTCAGGTCCTCATACTTATGACTGAGCTATAGCCCCAGCCCCTGGTTTTTAAGCCTTCTCAAAGATTTTATGTACTAACCAATGTTCCTTAATAAATTACCTCCCTTTTTTGTTTTGCTTAAATAAGCCAGGATCTGTTTATATTACTAAGACCAAGAATGTTCACTTATGTTTACCTCTCCCTGTTCTCCCCTACTTCATTTTATGTGCAGGTTGGGACCATTATTCAGCAAATATTTACTCCAATATGCTCCAAATATAGTTTCCTGCCCTATTGCTATTGGGCTTGGTTATATGTCTTTGCCCAATAGAATGCCATCATTTGCAATTCAAGCAGAGACTTGAGCAACATTTGTGTGTTTGAGCTTGCCCTACCGCTGCAATGACTAAAGAAAAATGTCCCAGGTTGCGGCTGATTTTTCAGCTAGTCCCCAGAAAGATCACATACTCAGGCAGCTGCTGGGCCAAAGACAAAATGTGGAGCTAACCTGGACATGATCTCTCTTCTAGAGCCCCAGAGCTGGAGCCTGGGGTCTTATTCAGGCATCTCACAGACAGTGGACAAGAGAATGCAATTGCTATTTTAAATTAATATGCTCTCATACAGCATTCTGTCTTTAACTGCCTAATGCCATTTATTATGAAGAGCAATAGTTCACCTGTATTGCACTTACTGGTTTACTTCTCTGTTCCTCTCTGCTAGATTGTAAGACTGTTGAGGGTAGAGACTGATCTTGACACTTCCGGTGATTATCATAAAACCTATACTGCACATCAATAACTATTTGATGAATGAATTTAAAAATCAGCGAATGAATGGTAAATAAAAACTGTCCCTTTTGTGTATTATAACATTAAAAAACTTTTAAAACATCTCTTTATTAAAATAGTTCTGTCAGCATACAGTAAAATTTATTCGCTTGTGCTAGATGCAATAATATCATGATAGTAATGTCCTAGTCCCAAGATACTGCCTGTTGATCATGTTTGGAGTTTGGAGTACACCTCAATGAGGTAAAAGCACAGGACCAGCTCATAATAAGTATGATCAATAAATTTCCATTTTCTTTTCAAAATAAGTATGATCAATAAATCTCACCTCCATTTTCTTTTCAAAACTCCTCAGCTACTGATTTGCACACACTTATGTTACTTTATACATAGTTTATTATTGCCATTTTGTATGGATTCGGTAAGTTTTTCTTTTGTTGAGACAGGTCCTCACTATGTAGCCTTGGCTGGCCTCAGGCTCACAGAGATCTGCTTGCTTCTGCCTCCGTAGTGCTGGGATTAAAGGCGTGTACCATCATGCCTGACGTAATTTATGCTCTTTCAAACATTAAATTATTTTATTTGTTTTAGAAGTTGGGCTTTTTGGATGGTATCTCTCTGTCATTCCCATGTACCAAATATCTAAGTCACAGCTGAAACATAGTGAAATTTTCTTAGATAAAATTGTTATTTATTAGTTTCCTGATATATAAAATTTGAATATGTTCATTTAAATGAGGGGACATTTTGATGCAGACTAAAACAGAAATTCAGGGGCTGGAGAGATGGCTCAGCAGTTAAGAGCACTGAC